GAAAAAAGGAAGTAATCAAGGTCACTAGCTGGAGAAAAATTCAAATACACACACAAAGGTTCAGTAAATAGATTAATTAAAACTGTGCTTAACATGTTATATCTTATAAATACAGAATTGAAGGTGAAGGTTTTACATATTTAGGGGTGTTCTACAACATGAAAAGCCCTTTGTACGATTGACAAGGAACATAGTTTGTGCAACACAAAGCCGCTAGCAGCCATGCTACAGTATTAAATAGTTTGTGTGATAATGAGCAGGTAAATTAATTTAATACAATTCACAAATTCCATTCCAGCACAAGTAATTATGAGATGAAGAACCTTTTTAGAACAACCATGCAAGGTATGTAAAATGAAGCATATTCTCAATCACCCGGTTCAGTTTTGCATCTTTTATTTGCAATTACGATTTGTACTCCTATCCAATACAAATTTGTCTCATTTACACTTATTGACCACAAATTTTGCATCCCAAAAACTGAATCAAAATCTTCACCACCTACCTCTTACCTCAATTTTCCCTAGTGGATACCATCTTGCTTACTACCTCACTCCCAAACAAATAACCCTGCTACCTCTATTCATTCCTCTTTTACTTATCACAAACAAACAAGACAAAGTCAAATCTAAAGCAAAAGTAAACCAGAATTTACACTCAACCTATTTATACTCCCATGCACTTATGCGAGAGCAAGTGAAAGTTGCACTGCAAATAAGGCATAACTTGGGAAGAGTGCAAGTACAAATATATACATTACAAATACAAGGTTTAGTAGGTATTTTCACTCTCTAGTAGATGGAGTTGAGTTAGTACAGCAAGAGGAATTGCCAGGGCCTGTGGGGAGCACTTCAAATCTATTCTAAGAAGGCCTGTGAGTAGAAGGGTGTGGGTAGAAGGTTTGGATTGGCCAGATGTAGGGGTGGAGAACAGGAGAATGATGGAAAGAAACTTTAATATAGAAGAGATTAAGGAGGTTGTGTTTTCTATGGATAGTACAAAAGCTCCAGGGCCGGATGGGTTTACAATGGCWTTTTATCAGGATTGTTGGGATATTTTGAAAGATGATCTCTTGCGGGTGTTTGAGGAGTTTTCAGGAGAAGAATTGTCAATCCGGGTGTGAACTCTACATTTATAGCCTTAATTCCCAAAAAGAAAGRTRCATYCCACCCGAAGGATTTTAGGCCAATAAGCTTGGTGAATAGCTTGTACAAGATCATTGCAAAAGTGTTGTCTTTGAGGCTGAAAAAGCTAATTCCGGATATCATTGAACACTATCAATGAGCTTTTGTGAGTGGAAGACAAATTATAGATCATATTTTAACTGCTAATGAGAGTATGGAGAACTTTAAGAGGGATAAGAAGAAGGGAGTGATCTGTAAGCAGGACTTGGAAAAGGCTTATGACCTGGTGGACTGGGAGTTCTTGAGTAAAGTTTTAACCAAATTCGGGTTTGGGGCTAGATGGTGCAAGTGGATCATGGGCTGTGTCCGAAATTGTCATTATTCAGTGTTAGTGAATGAGACAGTGGTAGATTTCTTTCTAGCCAGTAGGGGTATAAGACAATGAGACCCCCTTTCTCCTTTCTTGTTCATTTTAATTGCGGAGGTTTGGAGAAATTGATTCACAAAGCAAATTCTAGGGGGCTCATTAGAGACTGGAGGGTTGGGAGGATGGAAACCCCCCTCATACATTTACAATTTGCTGATGACACGATTCTGTTTTGTGAAGGTGGTAATATGAGGTTTATTAGGAATTTAAAGTAGGTGATACAACTGTTTGAGCAACTGTCCAATTTGAAGGTTAACCTTGGGAAAAGCTGTGTAGTGGGGGTGAATTTGGAGGAGGGAGAGATCAGGGAGAGTGCTGAAGTGCTGGGGTGTGAAGTCACGGGGTGGCCTCTGAACTATTTAGGATTACCATTAGGTGATAATCCCAAGAGAGAGAGCTTCTRGAATCCGGTGATGGAAAGGTTTGAAAAAAGATTGGTATCTTGGAAAAAGATTACCTCTCTCTTGGCGGGAGAATTACATTAATTAAGGCCACGCTTGCTAAATTACCCATCTTCTTCATGTCGATGTTTAAAATCCCAGTGAAGATTGCTAACAGATTAGAGAAGTTAATGAGAGATTTCCTATGGGAGCCGGGAGAAGAGAAGAGGGATCATAGAGTTAGCTGGGAAATAGTGTGCAAAAGTAAGTCGTGTGGTGGTTTGGGGCTGGGGAGTATTAGGAGAAGAAATATGACTCTGCTGGGAAAGTGGTTGTGGAGGTTTCCTATGGAGAAGGAGAAACTATGGGCTAGAATAGTGGCAAGTATTCATGGGCTGGAGCACAACGGATGGGACGCCGGAATCAGAGCTAAGATCACAAGCAATTCTCCTTGGAAAGCCATTCATGACCTGCTACCAGTTTTCATTCCTAATATCAGGTATGACTTGAATTCCGGTAACTCCATAAAATTTTGGGAACAAACCTGGGTGGGGAGCGCTCCTCTAAAAGATCAGTTTCCGTCTTTGTACGCTCTTTCTGATTTGAAAAATGAGCTGATCTCGTCTTTCACCACCTCGTCCTCTTCCACTTCTGGGATTGGGTGGAACTTGGGTATAAGAAGGGATTTGAGGGATTCAGACTTCGACTATATTTCGAGCCTTCTTGCACTTCTTGATAATGTTGTCTTAGACCCCACTAGGGCRGATTCTAGAATTTGGACACCTAACCCCAATGACATTTTCTCATGTGCTTCGTTCTTCAAAGTCTTAAGCCAGTCCACCAGTCCTACCTAGTTCCCTTTTCCTGTTGGTGAGGTTTGGTGCAAAGCTATACCTCCTAAGGTTGGTAGTTTTTGTTGGGAAGCCTATCTGGAAAGAATCAACACTGGTGATCTACTCCAAAAGAAGAGACCCAATACTTGCTTGTCACCTCAGTGGTGTGTTCTATGTAAAGCAGATGGGGAGACTGGTTTTCACCAAATGGTGTCGTGCCACTTCGCGAGGTCATTGTGGGATTGGGCTTTCTCCTTATTTGGATGCAGCTGGAATCCCCCATCAGACATGCAGGGCCTTTTTGCCCCCTCCTTCAGGTGGCGGTTAAAAAGGGGAAGGACAATGTGGAGAAGACTAAGGGCTGCAATATGTTGGACACTATGGGAAGAAAGGAACTTCAAGATATTCTCAGAAACTCAGAGAGGGACAGCAGATTTGAGGGCTATCATACAGTTTAGGGCGGTATAGTGGTTGAAATCTCTGGAAATATTCACAGATTACACTGTGGATGACATGTTGAAGAAGTGGGGTGAAATTGCAAGTTGCACACAGACCAAGTCAGTAATGAGCGTGACTTGAACAACCCCCCCCCCCCACCTAGTGGATTCTTGAAATTAAACTTTGATGGATGCAGTAGGGGAAACCCAGGACAATCAGGGATCGGGGGTGTTTTAGAAATGAAAATGGGGTCATCTCTGCTATGTTCTCAGGCCCAATTGGAGTGGGTGACTCCCTTAGAGCTGAGATATGTGCAGTTATGAAAGGAGCCCGAAAAACGAAGGAATTGAACATCAAGAAACTTATAATTAAAGGGGATTCAGAGGTGGTGATAGGGTGGCTGACCAAACAACAAAATGATCTTTGGAAGTATAACAATGAGAAGCGGAAATTCAAATGGCTGGTGCGGGAAATGGAAGTTAAGACATTGGATTAAGAGATCAACTAATTCCCTAGCTGACAGTTTAGCAAAACAAGGGGCAGAAAGGGATTCCTTGTTTTGGGCTAAGTTGTAATGTTAGTGTCMTTGTATCTTTGTATTTTCTTCTTTCCTTTCTTGAAGTTCTTTGTGACTCTTGAAAGATAAGTGTGTTTGTCTTCCACTTGTAAATTTTTTTGATGAATTAATAAAAGTATTATTGATCAAAAAAAATATAAGGTTTACAAATACCATATGAAGTTTTGCACTAACATATTTGTATTTGCACTATTCCCAAATACAACTGGGTACAAAACCAAAAGCAAAAAGAAAAAAGCCACTTCTTTTGCACAATTTATTAGCAATGCAAAGAATATATTACAACTGGGTTCAGTTTTTCAGTTTTGGCAGAGCAATGCTCACCTCTAGTGCTAAATATGCTGGATGTAAAATCCTTATCCAGTTCCTTCCAAGTCCACCAAATGTCAGGACCAGCATTGGGAAATGGTCTCTTTTCAAGGAAAGCTAATTCTTTGTATCATTGCATGATTCACGAATACAAATAAAAAAGGAAAATGGAAAATGAATTGGAGAGAATGGAGATGCATAGTCTGCAGGGTGCCTTATTGGTCTTGGTCAAATTCCTAACTTAAAAAAAAAAATGTATACATCAATATTATAATACACAATTGGTAATTTTGCTCCAGCCAAGCAACTTGTATGATAATGAAGTTCTTGTAATACAAGAAAACAGAAACCACTTTTTAAATTATAGTCATACACAAAAAATAGGTATAAAAATATCATCCCATATTTTTATTATATATACCTAAATATAAATTACTTAGCAAATATGCACAATTAGAAGGTTCTGTAAGATCCTTATCAGAAGACAAGCTTTCTTTAGCTTCTACTTCAAATTAAAATTAAAGATCAATATACCTGCCACAGATTGGTACTGCATCAAACCAGAATTAGGGGTGCAACTTGGGTGGGCCCAACCCAAGCCCAAGCTGGTCCAACTATACACGTGTGTATATATATATGTGTGTAAATAAAAGTATAAAGTGGGTTCATCGACTAGCCTGAGCCCGGCCCGGGTCTGAGCCCAAGTGCATCATATTATAGTGTGGGTTGGGTCGAGTTGGGAAAGTCAGGCTTGACCTCAGGCTCGGTCCAGGCTCAGGCTTTAAGCCCAAATTTTAGGGCCAGGCCTGGGTTGACCATAAACCCGGCCCAACCCGCCCAACTTGCACCCCGAACCGGGATAACCACCTAGAAACTTCTTTCTCCAAGCATAATAAAAAAGATACACAAGGATAAAAAAATCGGACTCTTCAAATAGAACAATGGCCTAGGTGGGTACTTCACAATTTTCGTTGCCATGCCATCATCAAACTCTTTCCCCCATGTATTTGCTGCCTAAAAATCACTTTACATATGATTGTAAGTGAGAATTTAGTATAAACTAGAAGTTCATAAGATCTATGTTTTCTTCTGGCTATGCTTCATCATCAGAATCCCGCACAACCTTGTTCATTTTTGCCCGCTTGGTTTTAAGACTGATATTTTGATCTTCATCAGATGCAGAATCTTCAGGAGCCATAGAACTATTAGATTCAGGTGATAAAGCCTTCTTAGACCCATTTTCTTCATCAGACGATACATTCTGGGACTCGGTGGAAATAGCAGGATTAGGCTCAGGTTCCAGTGCATCTTGTTCTTTAGTTATCTTCTTTGTATATAGTATCTTAAAGTCTCTTGCAGTGCTCCGCTTAGCGTGTCTCAACAAATTAACTTTGCTCACCTTGCTGAGTTGGATGAGATATTTCTCATAATCCTCTATCTGGAAAATCAGGTCAGGAATGCATCTATTCTCTCTTTTAATCTTACTGATAATTCCTTTGTTGCGTTCATTCTCTTGTTGATTCTGCAAGTTAATAATAACAAACTCAATAACAAAGAAAACTTTGAAAATTGAGATGATATAAAAATGTGTGTAGTTGATAATTGATAAAGGTTAGCAATGCCTGAAATTTGCAATGTCCATACCCTTTGTATTAGTGCAACAAAGTCATACAGTGGACCTGTGAGCTTTTTGCAAGTTACTTCTGCGTGTTTCTGGAATTTAAGCCCAGGTGGAAGCTGCTTGCAACCTTTAGGAGCAATTCGTAGTTTTGACATACGAGCCAAATGCTTGTAAAACCTTGCAGCCAATCTTAATAACTGCTCTGCTTGAGAATCTACATATTAAAGCAATGCATTTATAAACATCTGATATATCTACAATCTATCTAGGAACAAACTGTTTAATGGCCATTTTTATATTTATTAAGAGAAAATTAGGATGTCTTTGTAGATAAAAATAAACATATATTTAATAAATTGTGGGTACACATGATGATTGCTAAAAAGGAATTCTTGGTGGGAACTGGTAACAGAAATTTCCAATACAAACCATATCAGGAGACGATTGCTCGAGAATATTAGTGTAAAAGGAAATGTAAAAAATGTTACAAGGGTCAAGGGGCAGGGAGTTCGCACTAGCCCAAGTGAGATGATTGGCTCATTTTGGAAAACTCATTCTTTTTTCTTTCATCATAATTAATAAAATTTATGGTTGTTACTGATTAAAAAAATCTATACAATCAATGGCTCGTATTCTAAAAAGATATATATAAATGTTTATCTAGAATGATTCTCTTTATAAGTAGAATAAATGACAGTCTCTAGTAAATGAATTATATGTTAACTCATACTAGCTTCTCCAATCATAACGTACATTTTTTAGGAATTTTAAAGAATGTTGCACACAAATTATGTATAATAACTTGATTCCTGGTACATTTTAAGTGATGAAGAGGATGTAGAGAACATAAATAGAGCTGTAAGTGACTAGGCATGGGCAAATGTATACCTAAAAGTAGCTTCCGAAAAAGGCTGTAACAAGGAAGACAAAATATGTGGAAAAAAATATAGAGAAACAATAGTAATATCTCAAGCTGAAAAAATAAAAATCAGCAGTCTTGGGACTGGCCTATGCCATACCCTGTCATATGATGCTCAAATGCAAGGGGATTTTATATGCAAACATACCATTGAGGTTCATTGCCACAAAACAAGAAAATAAATTCACCAGAGCTTCAGATCTTGAGTATATAGCTTCTTCCAATATTAGACCAGGTGCCTTCTGCCCTTGCTGAACAAGGCAAGTGCTTCCTTGAGTTCTGTCATAGAGTGCCTTCAGTTTCATTACAGCACAATCCAAGTCAGCAATGGTTGAATCAATTAGCTGTAGTAAGAGAGAAGCTATTGTAGTTCTTGTTGAATGGTTTATGATAGGATAAGCATCAGATGTCTCCACTGGATCACACTCTTCTGATCCCATGACTTTTAAGAGTTCAGAAGCCATCTCCTGGGCTAAAATGAAATCATTTGGTGGCGAGTTTAAACAGATGGCAAGTGTAAATAAAGCTTTTGCAGCTCCAGAGTGCACTATAGTATTGCTTTTGCAGATAGAAATAGCCCAAGCTGCATGATAGTCCCTTAGCTTGCATGGTAGTTTCTTCCCAATCATCAATATCATATCAAAGAGAACCTACCATGAAAGATGGATTTTGTTCTAGAAATGAAAAGAAATAAAGAGGAAAACTCCAGCAACAAGTAGACAACTACCATTTGTGACAGAGATGGAGCTTTTTTTAACATTTACCTCAGATGTTCGAAAAAGTGAAAGTGCAAGAAACTCAGAGCACAGTGGCTTTATCTTTTCCTCAATCAACAATTCTCTGCTTTTGGTTTGTTGATCTTCAATGCCTGAGGCTAGCTTAGAGTCATTATTAGGGTCATCGTGCATGCAATTTTCCAAATCATCCTTAGGTGTGGATACAGACACCAAGTCCTCAAATAAACCAGTCAATGAATGTCCCTGCAAACTTAACATGATCAACTCCTTCAAGCAAATCAAGGCTAAGTAGATCTGTTCCTCTCTATCTTCTGCAACTTTCCTTCCCTTGGTTTCTTTTTTTGGATCCATACCCAACTTTCTCCCTGACTTGAGCAACCATACCAATTTCAGCAATGGAGGTCCCAGCACCTTGATGTCCCCATAGATCAAAGTTTTTAATTGATCATCCTTTGCAATGGAAGTTAAAGATTGTATTTGACAAAGAGAAGTCTTCAACACAAAGTGTATCAGTTTAGAACAGCTATTTAATGTCTTGCATGATGACTGACTGTGGCTCTGGGAAACTTCACTAGCATTGGAGCCTTCAATATTATATAACTTCAGTGCTGTTAGTAACAGCTGGTAGATACTTGAAGTTGCCAAGAAAGGTTTTCTTTCTAGAGACAACTTTAAGGGGCCAAAACGACACCCTTTAGCATCAGTCCTATCTGCAGCATCATTAGCAGTGGTCCTTGGTGTACCCTTTTTAATACCATTACCTTGCTTTGTTGCACATACATCCTTTTCCAGGGAGTCGTACAAATCAACAAACTCAATCACTTCCTTTTCAAGATCCAGTTTTTCGGCATCTGTTGCACTCTCCACCTCTGTTGCAATGGCATTTAGCACCACTTCCATGATTCCTAATAAAATCAAAGCACATTGCCTACCATTCTCTTCTTCAAGACATTTAGAGCCCGTATCCTGGATCTGACCTAAAATATCTGATCTGACATGAAAAGTAACAGATGTTAATAAAAAGTAGCAAGATTATGAAAATGCATGTCCGACATTTTACAATAATCTTTTGTACAAGTTCCATCATTCACAATATCTGTCAACAATTTTTACCTATTTAAATAAAATAGCTAAGAAATTCTTATTTTTATCAGAACTAGGTATATGGCAAACAATCAAAGGTTATTGTTCTCAAAAAAAAAAAAACTCCAAATAATATTTCCCTTGCTTTTTCATTTGCTTCCTAGGTTTCCCTAATGAAACCTCAACATAAAGAAAAGAAAGGTTCAGGACCTCCTCAAGCTGCTTTTACCAGAAACTTCTAACAACTGCAATTAGACTTCAAATAAACTTAAAATAAGGGAATAGACAATGTAAGATTGATGGATTCTCAAACCTTCCAAATGGCCATTTCTCAAAAGCTTCCGGATCTTTGATAAAGCAATACGAAATGATTCGGCTGGCAAAGTTCTTCCTGCCTGCAGTAGTTCAAAAGATTGGTTCGGGTACAAAAAATTGTATTGACATTTTTTTCGCATAGTTAGAATGAATAGCTCCTTTCAATTAAATGACAAAAATACCTCATGCTCTTGAGAAAGGGAGAAGCCAAAACAAGTCCATGACCTCTCTGATTGGCAATCAATTTTACCATGTGGCTGAAACAGAAGAATCCAAGAGATACAAGAGAGAAGACAATCCAGAGGTTCTTCAAGGAAAACTTTGCCACCCTCTGATTTAAAACAACTGCTAATACTTAGTTTGATTTCTGTTTCCTGCCAATACCATGCTTCAATTTCAAGTGTCAGGAAATTTATGGAAGAAGGAAATCAGAACTTAATACCCAAAAAGGCTAGGTATGTTTTTTAATCTTTTTCTTTTCTTTTCCTTTTTTCGGGATTCTTTTAAAGATCAAGGAAGCTATACTGCCACAATGAATTTTCAGGAAAATGGCTTAGCTAGTGAACTTGATACCTCACTGTAAAAGCGAAGGAAGTGGGGCAAAAGAAAATCAAAGACAGGCCCTGACATGACTGGGTCCATCAACACAAGCTTCACAAGCCCCTGGTACATGACCTCTTTAATTGTTGCCTGGTTACAACAACCCAACAATAATAAGCACGAACAAAGAGTACCAATCTAGACGAATATAGAAGAATGGAAATAAGATAACAGCCAACCTCCTGAGAAAGGCATCTCCTAAGCAAACCACTCAGCTCTTGAAATAGACCTGCTCCCATCCCATGAGAAATTTCAGCCTGCTGACTGCAACTGGCTTGGCTGGATGACTCTTGAAAAGGATCCAAGCCATCTCTCTTTGTTTGAGTAGCCACCAAAATCAAACCGATGATGGCATTAGTAGCAGCAATACGAACTGCATCTTCCCGTCTAAACATAGCCTTCCGCACAACCAAAATAGTATAGTCCTGTAGCATGTGCATCCAAGAAACAAACATCAACAGCCTTTGCAAGGCAGGAAAAACCATCAACTTGGAAATTGAAATGTTCATGGAACAGACAAGTTTGTTCATAAATTTTGAATTAAATATTGAAACTTGTATCTTATCTTTGCAATCCATTATCCATCAACATTGAAGGGGTATCCCATGATCCATCCTTTTTTTTGGTGGGGGAGACAAGGTCTTTTTACAGGTTCAAACTGAAATTCAAGATATATTTAACTAGCAGTATGTTAACATTTTGGGCATTGTATTTATAACAATGTCATATAAAGGAAAGTTTAGGTTGGAAATAATTGCAACTTACAAGGGATGCAATAAAAATATTCAAAAAGGATTGCCTAAACTTGTAAGGTTTTCTTTTTTTATTTTTTTTTCCTTTCTCCTCTCTTGTCAATCAGTAACAAACAATATGACTTTATTGAAAACAAAAAAAAAATTAAAAATCAAAATAACCACAAGTCAAAAAATAAGTAGCATCTAATTCCAGGATATACACTTCTGTTTCACCCCTCAGTGAAGAAGGTTGACCTTAGTTGCCAAGGCATCTATGCGGTTTTGGACAACAGCAGGGCACCTGGGTGATTAGAATTTCATAAAATAAAAATAGTAATTTCATATCCAAAACTAACTAAATTTTGGATGGTTAGTTTTATATACCATTCAGCATGCATATTAATTGAAAAAAAAAATAGCAATTTTCTTTATTAAGAACATTAAGTTTCCACTCAATAGATGGAAAATCATATCTAGGATAATAGTATTTAAAATTTGTTAATTCCAATGTTTTCAAAAATAATACTAATACAATAAGTATTTACTGAAATGATTTCATATCAAATTAGCAACTAAAGAAGGCTATAATTTTTTTCATAAGTATAATTTCATTTCTCAAAAGGAAAAAAGAGATACTCTCAAGGATCCATTGTTTTGTTTGATGTAAGAGAAAGAGAGAGAGGGGGGATAGAGGAAAAAAATGAAGCATCTTTATGCTCCTTTTTTTCTTTCTTTTTCTCTTCTAAAGACCCTTGGATCTTTTAAATTTCAACAGTACAACTTTAAAACAAAATATTAATGAAAATTGTGGTTTATAATAGAATGTATGAATACATGTATTAGTAAGATGTAGCAATATGAATGATATTATAATAGGGTACCTGCCTTACCATTTCTGTTGCCTAAGCGTGCAGCTAGTTGACAAGGCAGGTGCATTGTTGCTACAAGTCAAGACATTCAGGCAAGGCACACAATCAAGGGTGCCTAATCACAAATATGCCCTGACAACTTGACCATACAATTTGCTGACCCCAAATGGGAGTATTCTAAGTCACCTTTTATTGTAATGCTCCTAAGACTCAATCTTTTTTTTATCAGCAAAAGATAATTATTTTATTAAAATTAATTAAAGCTGTAGCATTACAATATGTGACTATGATGTCATCCCCAAGATTTTTCAAGCTACAGTTACAGAGGATTCCAAAACAATGCTAATAGGTTCTCAGCAGCCCAAAGTACCTCAGTTTACAATTTTGCCCAAAACAAGCCAGGTCTATCAACTCCTTGCTTTCCCAATGTATCTGCCATTATGTTTGGAGCCCTTCTGATCCACCCAAAAGAAGAGTTGAATTTCTTTGCCAAGGTATTAATCTCCCTGAAAGCATATCTGTATTTCCATGGAACTGATCTGAAGTTCTTGGACCAAGAGATTACTAACTGAGAATCTCCTTCAACTTCCAATTCCCTTACTCCAACTTGTACTGCAAATCTTAACCCATGTAAGAGAGCCATCACTTAAGCCTGTACTGAATCTCCAAAACCAATTGGTCCTGAAAATTATGCCACCACCACTCCTTCATGGTTTCTAAAAACACCTCCTATTCCTGCCCTTCCTGGATTACCCAGTGAGCTACCATCGAAATTCAGCTTCAGTTTATTAAGGAGGTTTCCAAATCATTCTTACACTTTTTAAACCTAGAAAGAGAGATAAAAATTCAGCCTGTCTCACTGATCTTCATGTGTAACCAAGAACAATAGAACAATCATCCCCCCGCCCCCAATAGGGCATCCCAAAAGATGCCACTGTTACTGGACCTAGATTACAAGAGCATATACTGAAATAGAATTTGATAAACTTACCAATTGAAAGGAAACTTTAGCTTGTGAATTGATTCTAGGTACTCTCAAGATTTCTTTAATTTTCATATCTTTTCCTTTAAATAGTCAACTTTCCAAAGGAGATATATATCACCACTTCCAAAGAGCTCTCCAATCCATTGAATCATCAAAAAACAAAGGTAACATGGAAAAAAAACCAGCGATGCAAGTAATATCCTTATTGTGATTTAATTTTTCACAAAAGCTCCTTTTTACTCCATAAAATGAAATTTGCAACTTAATAAGCTTGCTTAAATCATAAAATGATAACTTCCTCTTGCTATTGCAAACCACTATCATATTTAGCTTTTGAAGGATCAAAAAATTAAAGAACTATTACCTGAAGCTCACGGCTAAGTTTGATGAGAGGCAATAATGCAACAATGAGAGAAGTTGCAACTTTTCCATGCATGAAGGTAAAATAGTCCAGCAGTTCCTTAAGACGTGCAACATGTTCCAACATGGGGTAAGGGTAGCTTTGAACCAGACATCTGAGCAATCTGCATAGAATGATACAGACTTGTAATATCAATTAATATAGTAACCACAATGAGCACGAAACTCGAATAAAACATGCATTAACTTAAAATGCAATTACTTGATGATTGCCATGCTTTGTTCAGGCTTCGAAGAAAGGATACGGAATTTGCATTGCTCAATAATCTGCAAAACATTAACTAAATTAAACACCAGAAGTTTACTTTAACATAAATACTACATGATATCTAACCTCAACAGGAAAAGTAGAAATCATAGTCCCTTTTCTACAAGATGCATGTGTGTTAATTTCTAACTTGATTTGTCATGTAAGGAATCAATCTTAGTTGTCAAGGCATTGTCTAGGTGAAAGGGCATTTTTTTTGGATAGCCTTGTGTAATTGCCTTATTTCTATATATTGGGAGTGCAAAAGGGCATCAAAAAAAGACTAATGTTTATTATAGAGCCATTAAATGGACTTTACTCCTTTTGTCCTTTTCTTAAATCATTTGTAATTACCCCTTTGTCTTTTTAACTGTGACCAAATCTGCCCCTTCATTTTTGTCTCATTGCAACTAATACGATTGCATATTCTCTCCTTGCATTCAAAATTAAAGGGCTATATCCCTCCATATGTTTGCTTTCTCTTGATCTTTGGTTTAGAACACATGCATATTCTCTTTATATCTACCTCTTGTGTTAACAAAATAGAGACTATTTCCTAGTTTTTCATGAGCTATGTAATGTGATTTTAGTTCTACTTCTAATTTCCGATCCTTTCATTTTAGACCACTTATAATGTTTTCTGGTTGCTATGCCAAATAGGGAAACAAATTAATTCATAAAAAGGGAAACAACTAAAACCGCCCAAATTTGTATATAGAAAAATATCACCTAGGCCACACCTGGGAAGGTGGGCAGGTACTTAGTTGATTATGCAACAATACACTCCCTTGTTGTCCAACCTTAACTTAGCACCTTGACAACTAAGATATCAATTGTCAAAGTTTTTCACCTTTCTGCAATAGAAATCACCCAGAAACCTGTACCTCAATCACCATATTGATCAAGAAGAAGAAATTGAAGAATGGAAGATCATTTTACACAAGGAAAGAGAATAAGAAACCAACAACCATGCTATCATAATATTTATGTATGAGATGGGCCTTATCAATAAAATATGGGTCAAGATCCAAGAGGAGGTACCTAAGCATATGGGTGTGCAGTCTGGAAAGGGATTGAGAAAGCCTATGAGGAGTTTTAAAAGGAATCAGCTATAACATAGGGGAGGGATCAAGAGTTCGTTTTTGGAGGGGTAAATGATTTGATGACCTTCCACTGATGGAGAAGTTTCCAAGCTTCCAGCGTTATTTTGGGGGCAGACCAAAAAAAAGAAGAATGTTGCTGAATAGCACTAACTGTATATTTTTTTTGATAGGCCAAAACTTTTAAATTGCTGGATAACTTAAAAGTTAAAACTAAATGCAAGTTAATTTAACCAAAGGAGAAGAAGAAGAGGGAGAAAAGAAGGAAAAGCAAACCAATTTTTCAACCCTTGACAATGTACTTGTACATATTTTCAGTCATTTCAGGATGTTATACCAACCAAGGTTCAAAATTTTGATGCAATATGCTCTGTATTGGGCGTATTGTATCGTTGGGGTCCCAATACACCTGTTTACAGGTGTTTCAAGAACCCCCTTTTTTAATAAAAAAAATATCCTTAAAAACCAATTTTTGAAAAAAAAAACACAAACATGCATGGTTTTTAGTACCGATACACCTCTGCCAATACAGAAGGGCGTATCGATACTTTGAACCTTGATACCAACCTCATTCCGTGCCATGTCATGGACCTCAAACAGAGTCTTTAGTATCTGAATACTAAGCTCCTCAATGCCCATCAAACCATTCAAATCACCAGCTTCATTGTGACTCTCTTCCACTGATTCCAGCAAAACAAAGCCAAATTCTACAATGCTAGGTACAATGTGCTCCCTTCCATAGTTGCTCTCATTAATCTACAATACAGGAAAGAACAATGCATGCAAAGTTTTAATGGTCATGTATAGAAATTAGGACTGCATTGTTTTTTGAATGCATTAAGTCAGAAAACATTATGTATGCAAAGTTAATGGTCATATAAATAAATCAGGTAAACATTGTTAAATGCAATTATTCAGAAAACATGTAATGCAACCATGGCATGTAATATAGGGAACCACCCCATTTAGTTCATGTGGTTAACAATTCATTATTTTAAGGTTATCCAATAGGTAATATTACATTATTATGTGGCATCAGCAGTTTATCACCAAGTATTCAAGTCTGCAAAAGTGCACTATAATGCCAACTTCTAGCAACCAAGGCCAGGATAAAATCATGAATAAATATTAAGTTACATGAGGTAATATAAATTAGGGTAGAAGAAGATAATTAAGGAATAAATTTGGATATTTAAGCCTTGCCACTTGGAGCATCATCAGCATGTTACAGTAAGTTCAATACCATCAAGGATTGCATGGTGTCCAACTGCTGGAGCGGCTAGAGAACTCAACCCAACAGTTTGACCCAACCGATTCAACCTTTCAAACCATCACCCAGCCATGATTCTGGGTCCAATTCTAGTAAAACCTGGAATTTGTTCTGTTAGAGTTAGCGGAATAAGGGTAGATTAATCAACTCACCTTTGTTAAGTTATGTGCTTATGTGGCAATCTTATTAGAGACTTTCTATCCCATACTTAAGTGGGGGCAGTTTAGTCTTTGTACAATTAATTAGAGCCTAATCACTATTAAGAGGTCGACTGATAGGATTTAGTCTATCAGGTTCGACAGTTCTTTCATCTTCTTCTTCTTCTTCTTCTCTTCTTCTTCTTCTCCTCTTTCTTCTTCTCCTTACTGGCTTGGACTACTGTAGCAGCAGTAGAAACATGGTATCAGAGCGGGGTTCGTGACCTGCTTCAGTTCGTGACAACTTCAGTTCGTGCTTCAGTTCTCTCCTTTTCTTTTCTGGGCTGTCAATGGAGAAAACTGGTTCGTCCTAGGCCTGAAACATCTCAGCTCTTCTTTCTCTTTGGTGCGCAGAACCTCCTTTCTTAGGAAAACGACTTCAGCAGTGAATGATTGGCTGAAGCTCTCAAAAAAGGTTGGTTATCTCTTCTCTTTATGCTGTTGGTATTTCTGGGTTGAAAATCTTCAAGAACCTGCGATGACTGATCAGAACCTAGAGAACTAGGTTGGTTGTTGCCCTGGTTCTTGGAAAAATTCCAAGAACAGGCTGTGTTTACAGTGACCGAATGGTGTAAGGGCTGCTGCAGGTGGCCAAATGGTGCAAGGTGTAATGCAGTGGCACTAGTTGAGTTCTCTTTGGTCTTGTAGTGCCCTCTTAAAAGTGTTAGACAGGTCTGTACCGTGTGTGACAGCTATGGCTGTGTGGTGGTGTTTCTGATGCACAATCTCTGTTGAGTAAGTTGTAAGAGAACTTGCATGTGGTTAATAAGTGCTGAATTAATATCGGTGTGGTTTGTGGTTTTGTGAAATCAGTAGTGGTGTGGACAAGAACAAAGGCTTGTCATCTATCATTGTGTTTATGGACTGCTATAGGTTCTGGAACATCAAACTCCTGACAGCAGCACTTAGTTGGTGACTGGGAATTCAGATTAGAGGCAACATTGAAAGAGTATCATGGCAGCAATGGGAGATGGTTGTAGTGATCAGAAACCTAGTGTGGTGGTTTCCTCTAACTATCTAGGTGTACAGATGACCTCAATTAAACTGAATGGTGAGAACTATGTTCCATGGACCAAGTCAGTGGAAGTTTTTCTCAAGGCAAAGAGGAAAGTGAAGCATGTGAAAGAAGATAAACCACCGGCTGACTCTCCARGGTTTGATGATTGGGAACAGGAAGATGCTCAAATCATGATATGGCTATGGAATAGTATGGAACCCAAAATAAGTGCCAACTTCATGTTCTTGGATACAGCTAAGGACATATGGGAATATGCCAAGAAGTTGTATTATGGGCAAGATAATACTACAAGGATATATCAGCTCTATCAGGAGTACTTTGATCTGCAACAAGGAAATAAAACCCTAGAAGAGTACTATGCTAGTATGAAGAACCTCAGAAATGAACTCAACGTCTATCATCCTCTCACTCCAGATGTTAAGGTTCAACAACAACAAAGGGAACAACTAGATGTCACAAGGTTCTTAGTGGGGTTGAAATCAGAGCATGAACCAATTAGGGCCCAAATATTGGGGGGCTCTACCCTTCCTACACTTGAGGAAGTGTTTGCACGGCTTCGTAGGATTTCTTTGGGACAGACAGAGAATCCCACACAGTCTGATAGATCAGCATTTGTGACAGCCAGAGGAGGTGGACGTGGTACAAAAGGGGGAAGACATGCCTCCCGAGGAGGTAGTGGTGGTTCCATATTTGGTCGTGGTGGTGGTCGTGACTCAGGGGGAGGCTGTGGCAAAGGAAAAAGCAACTCTACAAGGAAATGTATCCATTGTGGCAGGGAAGGACATTCGGCAAATTTCTGTTATGATCTCCATGGCCCTCCCTCTACATGGGCCAATCATGCTRTAGCTRGTGGGGTTGAYGTYAGTGATAATCAACAGGCAGACCTAACTCCTTCCACATCTACATCTGTTTCCGGGAGGGAGATGGTGAGTGTACCGCGTGATGAGTATGAGCGGTTCCTTTAGTCTACTTCACAGCACACTACTGCTACTCTTGCCCACTCAGGTATAGCTTGCCTGTCATCTAAAACCTCTCCCTGGAT